AAGGAAGTGAGACAGGAAGATAGACGGAAACCATGTGTACCAAATGAAGGAGTCTGGATATTTGTCCTACACGGTCTCTGCTTCTCAGGGATGACAGACCTTTTGTTGGCCAGCACCACAACAAGTGTGCATGCTATCATTGGGCCCTCCCTCCCGGAAGTGTCCCTTACTGGGAGAAGTCCCAGGATGACAGGAAGTTGGGCACAAAGCCTGGGGGAGGGGGAGACTCTTGTCAATTCATCTGCTGCTCCCCACCCCATTCCTTTCACTCACTTTCACTTTAGTGATAATAGAAACTGACAGAATGTCACCTTTCTTGAAGGTAATCAGTAATGTTTATCAAATTAAAATGTAAATACCCTGACCCAGTAATTCCAACCTATAGAATTATTCTTTGGACCTAGTAGGACATGCCAGGATACATGTGCAAGGACCTTGTTTATCGTATTAAAAACAAAAACTGGAAACAAACTAAGTGTCCTTCAAGTGGGACTATTAGCCAAATTTTGGCACAGCCAGATAATACAATATTTGTTATTAAAAGGATGAGATAGATCTGTATGGATTAATATAGAGTTCCCTATGCTCACAATATATTTTAAAAGCTAGGAGAGTATGAATAGTACCATTCCATTTATATTTATATATATATAATTTTTTTTTTTAAGCCCATAGACATACACACACATCCCCAGAGACTTCTGGAAATTTAAATCAGGGGAGGCCGAAAACAACAGAAAAAGCTAGCACAGCCCTCCCTGAGGTAGACCTAGAGATTATTTAAGAATGACTTGATTTAGACCAGTGGTTCTCAAAGTGTAGCCCCTGGACCAGCAGCACCAACACCACCTGGGAACTGCTTAGAACGAAATTCTCAGGTCCCACCCCAGACCAACTGCAGCAGGAATTCAGCATCTGGGGTCCTCCAGCAGACTGAGACGCACAAAAGCTTGAGAATACCCCCACTTGGACATCTGAAAGTAGTCACTGAGCTAATGGATCATTTGTCACTTTGGGGTGACTGTGCCATAAAGACTCCAGTGTCTAGGGTAAGGTTTCTCTGGAAGAGAATGGAGGAAGTCTGAGATTGGAGAGAGGAAAAAGGAAATATCTCCGAGACTGGGATTCAACTCTAGACATCTTTCTGGAGTAGGTAGAATGAAGGCACAGTCTGGGTAAGTAGGGGGGTCAAAAGACAATGGGCCTCAGTAGCACATTCTCATAGTTGCTGAGTTTTACTTTCTCATTCCCCTCATCCTCAGAGCTCCAGAAAAGTCTCCTGGAAAGTGACTCTGTGGGATACCATGGCAGGTCCCAGAAGAAGGGAGTAGAAGGGAAAGCAGTATCCATCCCCACTCAGGCCAGAAAGGTGGGAGCAGCCACTGCAGGGTTAGCAGGGAGCTGTACTCAGAGCCAAGGAGAGCCTCACAGATGTCACCAAAGAAATGGCACAGTGAGGTGGCCAGGGAGAGAGCCAGAGTCGAAGAACCCTGAACACGCTTAAGCCGGTGCCCTGGGAGAGGCTCAGAAAATGCTGGAGGACAGACACTTGGCAGGTGCAGGGAAGAAAGGGAGGGAATTCTAGAACTAAGTAGGAGCGAGTCTATGTTGTCGTAACCTGGAATTTAGCAAGAAAGGTGGACAGGTCTGGAAAGCGGGATCTGACAGAAACAATGTCTGTTAGGACTTCCCTTCCAAGCACGTACCACAATTTTATTTTACATTTATTTGTGTGATCATTTAATTCTCTTCCTTTCCCTCTGAACTGTAAGCCTCATGAGGCTGGACACTGGATGTTTTCACTCACCACTATGTCCCCAGTTCCTGGCTGGCACATAGTATTTACTCACAAAACAGGTTGGATAAATAAACAATTTAAGTTAAAATGCTCTAAAACATTCGATTATTCTTTGTGTTGTTGACTTTTTGTTTTGTTAGTTTTTGCCCAAACAGCATATTGTCATATGAAAGTATATGACCAAAAAGCATATTATCAAAGGAGGCTATTTCTGTTACAGAGAGAGTTGCGTCAAGAATACGGTGTGGAGGCTTTAGTCTCTGAGTTGTAAGCACTTGTTTAGAAAGCAAAAGGCTATAAAAGTTAGGATGTGTTAAGATGTATTTCACCAAAAATACATAAAAATACACCCACACTGGCCGTCAGTAATGGCCGGCCTGATGAAATCAAAGATTAATTCTGCCCCAAAGAGTTCTAGCATGAAGTGCTTCCAGGGCCTTATGATTCGCTGAAAACTGACCGTCCGCATATGACAAAGCAGCAGGTACTACCTTTGGCAACTGCCAGGCGCCCACAATGCAGAGTCAGCGCGCAGGTGCGGTGATGTCACAAGGACACACGTGACCCACCTGCCTTCTGATGACAAGAAGGATCATCACCAGTCACTCGAGATCTGAGAGTGTGACAGTGGAACAGAAAGGGCAGGCTATTTCACAGAGGACTGCAGAAATACGGACAATAGATTGAGAAGTTTAGCAAATAATGCCCAGCCCCTTACCCTACGAAGCTTCCCCTGACCTGGAGAGAAAAGTTACAAAATTAAATTTTTATAAACACACACGTGGCATCTTTGGCTTCAAAGAAGCCACAAAGCATGAGGCCGTGCCACCCAGGGTCAGCAGTCCATCTGTGCCAAGCTCTCGGGGCTGCGTGGTCACAGTACGGACCACACTCTGAGCACAGGAGGGATTAATCCTGCCGCAGATGTGACAGGCGGAGGGGGGTCTCACCACAATCCCGGGCAGGCTCCCTCGGGCCCTGCAGTCGGGTCTAAGCGTCTCGGAAGCCTGCCACCATAAAATGCCTTACGTTTCGGTTTGGAGGTTGACATTCTACGAAACTCTCGATAAAAGGAATAGGAAGTGACTCTCTTCCCCCCGCCCCCTGCCCATTCCCCTTGAACTCAGGGTCAGACCTCTAGGGAACCAGATCCTACCTAAGAACAACCCAGCGGTCAGTATGAAGAGACGTCTCCCACCCCTCTCCCTGAAAGGGCTTTCAGAGCGAGCTCGGACACTCTCCATCTCTGCGTGAGGGGGCTGGGTAATTGCCGGGCTGACCCTCGGGAGCCTCTTGCCCTGTCACCTTTCACTATAATGCGTGGTACAGCATAATCATGAAATGTGCTTATTAATTTTACTCATTTGACACTGCGCTCTTCTGCCCTGAGCTAGATGTTAGGAGAAAATGATAGGGATAGATTCTGCTCCTGTCAGACTTACCAAGACTTTCAGAAAACCAGACTATCAAAGGCCATCTGCCACCCACTAGCCAAGCTTTCAGGACGACCTCAAAGGTACAAGCAGGATGTTAAAGACATGGATCAACAAAGGAGAACAGCAAGACGTGGAGACCCGTGCCCTGGGCGTGAGCCCCCCGCACGAACCCTCCCTGGAGAGCAACCCCTAAACCAGTCCTCCCGGAGATCGCGGACGCTGGGCCCCTGCCCTGATTCATGACTGGCTGCTTCATATCTAATTCATCAAAAGACACTTTGGCTTCTCAAATCAGGAACATTTTTATTAGCTTCCCCAAGAGTTTTATGGCACAAAGCCATATCTAATGATTCTATTTTATGGCAAGTTATACATTCAAACGGTGCTTTGAAGTCAGACAGCAGGTAAGACTCAAATCTTTGTCAAAAAAGATTCCCTTGTCCTTTCACTTTTAAAATGTTTATAAGCTTTCAAACAGTTGGGAAAGTGATGTGGAGCATTTTAACAGGCTTCTCCTTCCCTGCACAGGACCCGGCGCAGGCTGAGCCAATGGGTACCAAAGAGTTCTCAATGGGGCTTGCTTTTGCCCCTCTGTCCCCTCCGCCTTGGGACATCTGGCAACGTCTGCCCACATTTTGGGTTGTCACGGTTGGGGGAGGGGAAGTTAATGCTGCTAGGGTCTAGTAGGTAGAGGCCAGGGATGCTGCCAAGCGTTCTACGTGTGTGGCACAGGACAGCCCCCAACACAGGATTATCTGATTATCTGGCCCAAAATGTCACGAGTGTCAACGTTGAGGAACCAGGCCTTAGGGCTTCTTCGGGACCAGGCGCTGGATCCCTCCCACCCCTGGGACATCAGATGCTAATCTAGTCATGGTGGCAGGTTTTCAGTGCTAGCTAATGAGCCTCGTATTCTTTTAATTCTTACACATTCTTGATGCACATTTTCAACAAACAAGAATAAAACGCTGTCTCAAACAAAATGAGGACAGTGAAAATAAGACCAGCTTAGAATCTCAGGACATGGGACCACAGTCACTGCTAACACAACCCTCCTAATGTTACGCTGCACCTTTGACCCAAATCCCAATTTATCTATTGAAACAACAAAATAACAATTCCAGCCATCAGTGCTACGGAACAGGACCACAGACGTCTGCTGGAGAGCAAAGCCAGTGCTCTGCTAACCTGTGCAGGTGTGATCAGTCAGAGTGGCGGACCTAGAAGGGGGCCGGTCCTGATTCACCACTCCCAAGGAATGGGCCTCCGTCACTCCGCCTATCAGAACTTGGATTCTCTTAATCAGTAAAGTGGAGATAAAGCTACTTGTCCTCCTACCCTTCCAGGGAACCGTGAGAGCCAAATGAGTTCACAGGTAGGAAACTGCTCTGCAAACTGTAAAGAGCTACAGAAATGTATGGCGACACACCACTTACACACGCAGGAAAACCTTTGCCAAGGATCTTTCAGACTTTTGGATCCTGTTCATGAAATCTCACAACTAGAAGTGATTTTAGAAATCAACAGAGCCGTTTAGATTTACAGAAGGTGAAAACGGCCATCACAGAGGTCAAGGCCAAGTAATAGCCCAGGTGGACCCGGTCCTCTGACTCCCAACCCAGGACACTCCCCACACCTTCCCACTGGTGAGGCTTTCCCTCCCTGTTCAAGTTCCCAGAGGGAAGGAGCACATTTACACACAAGGCTTGGGGGGGTTCCTGAGCACAGGGGATAAACATTGGTTGAATCAGTGGATCTGGACTTACTACATCATAGCCTGTTGGGGCTCGGTTCCGAGAAGCCACCACCCCCACTCCTGTGATGGGATCCATCGACGTCTCTGGCAAAGCTTCTGAAAGGTCTTTGACTTCAGGCATGGTGGATTGGTCCTGGTTCCGAAAAGAAGAAAGACAGCACAAAATTCAAACTGACCATTCAAAGTGAACGATACAAAGTCTCAAACACATAGAACCACAATCTTGGGGCAAATATCCTGAGCTTAGGTCCATGTACCTGAACTGGCTAAAGGAGCCCTGAGCTTTCCTGACCCTTTCCTCAGATCAAGAGCTCAAGTCGTCTCTGACCCCTGCTCTGTCATGTTGGCTCTGAACACTGGGCTAACGTAGTTAATGGGGGCCTGTCCCTGCTCAGAGAGGTAACTTGGACTCAAACCCCAAAGCAAACCATTCTTAACTCTCTCAGCAAGCTGCCTGACTTATGAATAGATACCCGTAGCTTCTGGGGAGAAAGCAGACACAGCTGAACTAACACAACTGTCCATTTCTCTCCCTTACAATATCTCGTGTGGAGGTGCAGACTTCCAAATCCATACCCTCTTGCACAACCAAGCATGGACTGTTCAGTAGGCAGAGCTTTGCAAACACGTGGAAGAAAGTGTTCTGGGAATGGAGGCAAAGGAATGGCATTCAAGTCCAGGCTCCATGGCTTACTGGCTGGTGACTTTGAGCAAGCAAGAGGTCATGATACTGACAGTCACAGAGCTGCCGTGAGATCTAAGGGAGTCACATAAACGAAGGGCCTGGAGGAGTCCCTGGACAGAGTAGGCACTCAACAAAAAGCAGATGAGACTGGCAGGTTTGGGGCACACAGGTTCAGCGCAAGTGGCCAGAAATGTGGTAGATGCCATTTCTGGGAGGACTGGCAGTTGCCTTTGTTGCGTTTAATCCCACAGGTCATGTGGGTACTTACTCAAAGCTAAACACTAACAATGACCATAATTCTTGCTGGGCACTTTGGGAGAAAGGGAGGGGAAATGGAATTATTATTCTGCTGCTGACTGCCTCTTGATGTGACCAGAGGAGACAAGGAGAATATAGACAACACTGGGTCTGGGCAGCTGGAGTGGCAGTGCACCAGAAAGCAAATAAAAGAGGTAACACCTTATGTAAATGACTTTTAGTACTTTTAAAAGGACAAGCAGCGAAAAAGAGCAAGTTAAATTCCACCTCCTTCTGCAGCAATTAAATTCCACCGGCTGTAGTTTCTACCAGATCTCTCGAAGCTGGTTACTGCTTCTAAAACAAACCAAACACCCTGCCTAACTAGGCAGGGAGAAGAAATGTTCTTAGTTCTCAGCCTAGAATCAGAAAAGGCAGAGGCTCTTAAAAATGACTGCAGCCTTCTAAATGGGAACAATCAGAATGCTATATGCAAGTCACCCTTGTAATCAGTGTCCCCTGAAGCCCACAAAAGACTCCGGAAACAGACTCGTCAATGAAATTGAGCCAAGTTTCCAATCAAGCCCAGGAAGCCCCTGGCAGCAGCCACACTCTCAACTTCTGTTCATGACAAAAGCCAAACTAAGTTATGGTTTACTTAATCCTACTGAAAATGAGCTTCTGGAAGCCCAGGGCAGGGGGTGGGATACCATGCCACACCATGGCATCATTTTGTTTTTTCAAATTTCATTTACCAGGCAGGTTTATATAAAGCACCAGGATTGGTGATTCCTGCACAAAGTAGGCAGGAAGTAAGTATTTATTCAATGAATAGGCATGCATGCCCCCCAATAAAGAAGGTTTAGCATTAAATATCTCCATCGGCCCAGTCCAAAGCAAACACTAATCAAAAAGTATCGTCACTTGGAAAATCCCATAGTATTGGTAGCATGAAAATAAGACTGCTGCGATTTGAAAAATGGGTACCTGCTGCTATTGGTTACCAAAACGCTTTGCAATTAACAACTCATTAACAGAATGTACAAATTCTGCCAGTGCTAAAATATCATGCTGTGACTTTAACAAAGAACATCCGAGGGTTTTTTTTATTATTTTTTAAAATTTTTTAATTTTTTTATTAACATATAACATATTATTAGCCCCAGGGGTACAGGTCTGTGAATCGCCAGGTTTACACACTTCACAGCACTCACCATAGCACATACCCTCCCCAATGTCCATAACCCCACCACCCTATTATTATTATTATTATTATTATTATTAAGATAGTACCGCCTCTACTATGTGAGAGAAAGAGAGAGAAGGCAAGCATGGAAATAAATAAGAACGATTTTATTTGCTGACAGATTCCAGTCCCCAGACCACGACGTCCTCGTGAGGCGTGGGTGACAGCGGCTCTCCCCTCCCGAAGCCGCTGGTCAAGGGCAGTGGAGGCCCTCGCTCCCAGGAATCCCGCCGCCCCCACAATGCACCGGGGAGGCAGCCCAGCCGCAGGTTCCAAGATGGCTGCGGGCTGCCTCCAGCTGAGGCAGACAAAGGAGCCGGCGGCCTGTGCCGATTCGTGCACGGTCCAGCCCAGCCTGCAGTCGGGAGGATGCGACAGCGGAGCATGAGCACAGAGCATCTCGGATGCACGCCTCCTTCTTCCCTTTCCCCCCAGCTGCTGTACCCTGGGGATCAAGGCAGCCTTTGTGAAATACAGACAAATGACTCCTCGCGGCGCGGGGCCGGGGCCGGCTCGGCGGTGGAGGAAGCCCCACCACCAGCAAAGGAAGCTTTTAATGAGAAACGCCCAAGATATCCATGGCAGAGGCAATCACTCAAAGCAGCTTGCCCTGAATTACATATTTTCTGACTGCAAATTACTTTTAACAGCGTCTCTACCGTCACTTCAATTGACCTTCCTAACAAAAGGCCATTTATTAACTAGCACTCCACGTTTCCCGGGCTGCGTGGAGCCTCGAGCCAGAAGGGATGGCACCGCCGAGTACTCAGCCGCCCAGGGTCACAGGCCAGGCCTCTGAGAGGGGAGAAGAGGCCATTAATGCAAGCCTGCAGAGCAGATCTGCTGGGGAGGGGGGCTGGGGGAGCGGGCTGTTTAAGACCAACATTAACCTGTCTGGCAAGAGGCAATGCTGGTCTAAAACATAAAACACCAAGGCCTACTTGCAGCAAGCCCTGGCTGCATCCTTAGCAGCTCCGAGGCAGAGAGAGGGAGAGACCCACCTCTATCTCAAAATCCTAACTGCACATAGACACACTAACACACCTGGGCTGCGTTTGCACAGTGCTTTGCAATTCTCAAAAAGTTTTCTCAGTCACCCTTCTTGACTGATGATCACACCAAACCTGGAAGGTAGCTGGGTCTTATTACCCCGATTTTGGAGGGGAAAAAAACTGAGGCCCAGAGTTGTCAGCTGCGGCGCAACTGGCCACCGGACCTTTAGTCCTCCTTCCCAGGTCTGATCTGCTTTCCATGACTCTGTGCCTAGAGACCAACATCCCATCTGATACCCAACTGAGAAAGCAGTTTCAACACTAATTATATTTAAAAATGCCAGAGCTCTTCTTTCTCTAGCTATAGCCCAATCAGTGAAGCAAGGGGGAGAAAAGTACAGAAAGATAAAAGTAACATGGGATTAATTTTCCTCACACCTCAGTTTCAAGATTCAACATTTCCCTCATAAATAATTTACAACAATAAAAATGAGCTAAGGCCATGTTTGTGTAGGACGGAGGTAAATTTAGGCCTAATGAGGGAGATCCGAGCGCCGCACAGGAGGGAATAGGTTGATGTATAGCACTGTATACGCACAATCGACAGCACACAGGGGCTCCATTACCAACTGGAAGTCGCGAGGCCCGCCAGGAGAAGGGGGGGCCAATTTAAGGAAACTTCTACCATCCCAGCTGTGGCTGCAAGGGAGTCTGCAAGAGTCTCCACAGGAAGAGCCAAAAGCCAGGATTTTAGATGACAAGACAATGGGGACTGAGATTTCTCAGAACTATAAAATTGAACCATCCTGAAATTAAGTCAGTTCTCAGGAAATGCCAGGTGAGGAATCAAGGTGGTGATGGCACCTGGGAGGCACGTCTGCTCGTGGGCACAGGGAGAGTGTGGTGGTAACAACGATCTTGAGCTGGTCCTCCTCATTTAACCTTGTAGGTTATCTGGCCCCAGTTGCCATCCCAATATCTACCCTGGGTGCATGGCCAGGCTCCACTATATCATTTCCGAGGCTGGGGGTTGCTATTCCTATGTCTGCCCCAAGAGGATTTCTCCACCAGGCAGGAAAGTATGTATGAATGTGCTGTGGGGTGTGTGTGTGTGTTGCATGTACATACTGGGGCAACAAAGATTCAGTTAGGGTGAGGTATGTTTCCAGGCCAGGAGGATTTTTTCCATGTCATGCTCGATGAGTACTACGCAACAAGGCCGGGGAGGAGAAAAACGGCCTCCTGCTTCTGCCTGCAATGCTGTAAACAGGGCCTGGGGAAGGCCCCAGCGCCCAGCCCTGCAGCACCTTGGCAATGCTGTCATCCCAGGTTCACAGAGAAATGAACTTTAACTATAAAGCCTCTCATACAGACAGCACACTGCTCCCTTGTAGCTGATCAAAGAATTACTACAACAGTGTGCTTAATCCCTAAAAGTCAGCAGTGCTGGGCTTAACTGATGCTGAATATTGTTTCAGAATCAAAGGCGTGCCTCCTGGCCCCAGTCTGGGAGAAAACTAAGCTACTGTATCACAGTTGAAAACTCAGGGGAACTTTGATATCATCTCTGTTTAATTTCCCCGGCCCTGTGAGCCTGGGGTTTATCTCGTTTTATCAACTCCTGTACTGAAATCAAAACCCAACTAACAGAGCTCAGACCTCTCTCCACCGAGGCCCTTCCAGCAGCAGGGTGGATCGGGGGGCAACAACTGCAGGGGGGCAGGGGGCGTGCCATCAAAGGAGGCGCAGCAGGAACCGGACTCGGCCTCCCCACTGTGGTGAGGAAGGCTGGCTCAGAAGCAGCGCCAGGGCTGCCCACCAAGGGCTGAAGTCGTGACTCGCACACAACTTTTGAGAAGAGTAATTTCAAAGTATGGGGAGGGGTAGGTTAAATTGGGCTACTGTAATTGAAATGACAAAACCAGTGGATTAATTAAGTCCCTACAGAAGGATGAACTTGCAATCAGTTTGTTTGAAATCCAAAGTCAAGGGCACAAAAGGCATAAACTGTCTGCCCACATCCACCAACTTGTGGGGCTGGGGGAAAAGCAGTGGATAAATATTTCACTTGCCGTGGAAACCTGACCAATAGCAGGGGGTGGAGACTGAGAACGGGCTGTCCCCGCCATGAGAGCGGCTGCTGTGCCCATCGTGGGGCAGCTCTTTGCCTGTCTTCCAGGGGCAGTGGTGGTCTGCAAGAACCCATGCCCCCTTTGGCCCCATGATTACTGTCACCTTTTTGCCTACAAATCTTTAGCAGGTATGGAAGGACACGGCCCCGTTCCCACTGGAGGGAGGCCATGGCCAGGCTTCACCAACACGCACCACCACACCCACACACAGACCGGGCTGCCTGTGTGCAGGTAAGGTGCAGAGACCTACCTCCTCGGGAGATGGCAGGCTGTGGCCTGAGTCCATGTAGCACCCGAGTGAGTGGCCAGCCGGCTCCTGGAGCTACTCACGGAGGACAGTGCCCAGGCGGAGAGGCGTCCGCTGTGGAACCTCAGAACGGCATCCTGGGGCCTCCTGCACTTGGTCTGGACCACTCTCCCAGTCAGAAGCCAAATGACTCTGACAAACACTGTTGAGTATGATCAGGTGGCCACAGACCAGAGGCTGCTGGGAAGGCTGCTGAGATATTAGGAAACTGAAGCAAATATTTTTCTAAGCTCTCCTAGATCACAAAGAATTTTCCAGCTAGGGAACTAACAATGGCGAGCACTTCCTTTTCTCCAGTAAAGGCCTGTTACTTCTAATAAAAGAATCTGGTGTATAAACGCACCCATTCTATCTGACCGATGGAGAGATTTCTATTAACCATTTGTAGACCAAGCAGATTTTCCACAAATCATGTGATACAGGCCTAGAGTTCATGTTGCAGCCGCTCATATGGTACAAGGCTAGATCCCAGAGTTCATTCTCCAAAAATAAATCCAGGATCAAGTTTTATGGCCCTGCGGTAGCCAAAGTCCTGCCCCTTATAGGCCAGACTCTCCACAGCCAGGGAACCTAGTGCTGGGGACTGGGGTGGGGGCGGGGGGGGGGGGCGATCTCCAGAACACTGTGCTCCCCACCCCTGCCTACCCCCAAACACTGCCAAAGAGGGTCAGCCCTGCCCCTTCCCATCAAGTCTCGGTGCCATACTGTCCCTGGGAGAGAAGGAAGGAGAACCCCACAGAAGGCAGGTGCTCTACAGATGGACCCCAAAGGACCCAGGAGACATGCTCGCTTGATGTTCAGTGACATAAGGTAAGTCACACCCTTACCTTGGTTTACAGAGTAAAAATGCCAATATGGTGCCTCAACACCACGCAAATGGGCTGTTGGGTGGGAAATCATCAGAACACCCGGCTCAGGTCAGCCAGGCGTCTCATCACCACCACCCTCCTCTCCAACTTTCATAGGGGTCTTGAGGGTTTCTTTTCATATATTTTTGGAATCTAATTTTCCTACCTGTATGCCGATGGCTTCCAAAACCCCTCGACTGCCCTGACTTTTCTCCTGAGACTCAGAGGTGTGCATCTAGTGTCCTGCTGGCTACTGCCAGCCTGTGTCCTGGCTGAACGTGTCCTCCTCCCCCTGAAGCATCTCCCACATTTCCAGTTCCTTGCAGGACCTGGCACACAGCAACAAACCCACAAACATTTACAGGGAGCCTTTGTGGAAGCAGCGAGGGAGACTTTGCGACGTCGATGGACAATGCAACATCGGGGAGCAGGGACTCAAACACGAGCAAGTGTGAGGCACCTACAGAGTGTGTTAAAAGAGACTCTTGAACCCACTCCCAGAGACACTGATTCAGTAAGTGTAGGATGGGGCCCGAGAAGCTGCATTTCTAACAAGTTCCCGGTGACGGCCAAACAGCTGGTCCACAGTCTGAACTCGGAGTATAAGACAGCAGGTGCTCGTTAGACGTTTGATGAATGAATGAACAGAAACAAAAACCTGAGTGTAATTATCCATGGGGACTAGCCTCCGAATGAATCCTTTAGTCTCTCCCTCCCCAAACAGGTCAGCCCAGAGCACCCAGTTCCTCCCCTAAGACACCCACCCCACCATTCAAAATCCAGGTCACATTCTCCCCAAACCTTCCCCGACTGCCTAGCCACACAGCTGCTGTCGCGGAGAAGCCCTGCGTGTCACCAAGGATGTGGTCTTAGCACACGTATGTGCATACACGTGTGTATACACACACAGAAACACACAGCCTTGCCTCTCAGAGGGTTAAAGCGCCCTTGCCCCAGGAGAACAGTGGTTGTTCAAAGGTGTTATGTCCATCCAGTGCCTGGCCCACAGTGGGCGCTCAATAAATGGATTATGGCAGGGGGGGGTAGATGGAAGGAAGGAAGGAGCAAGTTCCCATCATCCTTTCAAAACTGCCCCTCTTTCACTGGATTAGGAAGGGCACACAAAGTATCAAAGGCAACAGCAAGAACAGCCCTGTGGAACCCTTACAATGACAGCACCAGGCTGGGCATCCATGAGCCCAGCGCAAACACCACAATTCTAGGGACAGGCAGGCTGCAGAGGAGGAGAGGTAGGACCGCAGCACTCCAGCAGCTCCAGAAGTGATTATGACTTAGTCCAAGACAGCCTGGCAGAGGCCAGGGGGTCTCCAAGCTAGCTGCACAGAAGACTCCCCTAAGGAGTTGGTAAAAACCACCGCTGCCCATTCCAACCCCCCAGGTTGTGATTTAACTGGTCTGGGCCTGGGCTGAGACCAGATAATGCAGGCCTAGGCCAAGTGCTACTGTGAGACAATGAAAAAGACATGGGCACCCCCTATGGTGCTCCTAGGCTGGGAAACATCCCAAAGAAAGGGGCTGCCCATGAGGGGACACTTCCTTCTGCCTGGTGAGTCAGGGAGATGGGAGGGAAGAGCAGGCGGTCAGGCTGGCCTCCTGGAAAGACAGAGGGTGCTGAGTAGGGAAGGTACTGTAGGCAGGAGAGGCCAGATCAGCAGCGGTGTGAATGAATGCAGACCACTGTGGGAACTGTGGCAAGCAGATGGGCTCTGAAACGAGCTTATGAAATGCTTAAACAAACAAACAAAGAAAACAGTTAAAAATCTGTCTGCATTTCTCTGCTATTTCTAAGGTCTAAGCAACGACACAGAGCTTCAGGAAGGAAGGAAGATTCGCAAGTCTTTCGTTCGTATTTCCTCTCCTGTAACTGAATGCTTCTCGAACCCATGCCACTTCCTGCAGAAAGCTATGGGCCTTGGCATTAGCTCGGTGGGGGACTGGGAAGTGAAGCAGAGGAGCGGACAGGGCGAGGTTCTGGAGTCAGACGGACCAGAGCCCGAATCCCAGCTCTTGCACTGTGTACAGCGGTATGACTGGGTTCAAGTTTTCATCCCCCTAAAACTGGAATAATAATAATCTTTCCTCTACAGGGTGATATGGTGTAAAGAACTTGTAGAACTTGTATCAAAAGAAACAACTGACAGAGCAAAATGGACCTCCTATGAAATAGAAGAAAATACTTCCAAATCACATATCCGCTCAGGGGTTAAAATCCAAATCTATGAAGAACTCCTACAACTTAACAACAATAACAAAAAACAAACACTTGATTTAAAAACAAATGGGCAAAGGACTTGAGTAGACACTTCTCCAAAGATGATATACAAGTGGCCAATAAGCATATGAAAAGATGTGCGGTCACTAGGGAAATGCAAACCAAAATCACAATGAGCTGTCATCTCGTACCCGTTGGGATGGCCACTATCAAAAGTCAAAAAATTAGTGTTGGTGAGGATTGGAAAACTGGAACTCTGGTGCACTGTTTTTGGAAATGGAAAAGCAGCCACTGTGGAAAACAGTATAGGGATTTCTCAAAATATTAAAAATAGAATTACTATAGGGTCTGGCAATTCCACTTCTGGGTATGTACCCAAAAGAGTTGAAAATGGGGTCTTGAAAAGATATTTGTACCTCCGTGTTCACAATGGCATTATTTACAAGAGCCAAAAGGTGGAAGTAACCCAACTGTCCAGAGATACAGGTAAGCAAAATGGGTATATACATGCAGTGAATATTATTTGGCTTAAAAAGGAAATTCTGGCACATACTATAATGTGAGTGAACCCTGAAGACATTACGTGGAGTGAAATAAGCCAGTCATAGAAAGACAGATACTATATAATTCCACATATGTGATGCCCCTAGATCAGTCAAATTCATAGAAACAGAAAGTAGCATGGTAGCTGCCAGAGCCTGGGGGAGGGGAAATGGAAGCTGTTTAATAAGTATAGTGTTTTGCAAGATGGGAAAGTTCCAGAGATTAGCTGCATGACAATGTGAATGTCCTTAATGCCACTGATTTGTACACTTGAAAATGATTAGGGTGGTACATTTTATGTGCTGTACGTTTTGCAATTTAAAAACGGCATCTACAAGTGTGGTTTTCGAGTTTCAGTCAGTAGAAGTACAATCCAAGATCCTTATTAAACACAGAGACTCCGGGGCCCCTTCCCCCAGATATTCTGATTGAAGGTCTGGGTGGGAGGTCCTGGAATCTGCATTTTCATAAATATCTCAGGGCTATTTAGCACACTAAGAATTCATGTATTTTGCTCTGGTTCTAAAGGGTCAAGGAATATTCTTCTGAATATTTTGCTTTGCTGATCAGTATCTGTTTAAAACATACACACACCCTATGGCTCTGTGTGTGTGTGTGTGTGTGTGTGTGTCTAGAAAGATCTGTTGATTCTAGCCACAGCCCAGCAAGATGGTCCTCTGATTCTCAGGGAAGTAGCAGCTACAAAGCTTGAGTATGTGACCCCACAGCTCCAGGCCCATGGGCCTCTCACATTTCAGCCTGCACAAGCTCCACATCTCACCAGAAGTGTGTCAGGTAAACCAAACACGCGCCCACAGGATGTCCCCAACAAGGGAGGTAATGTCAAGTACAGCCTGCAGGGGCCCTGCCTCCCACAGAGCAGAGCGGAGGATCGCTAACCCAGGCGACCCCACCACAAACAGTGCGGACGACGCAGGGAAACCACAATTCTCAAGGGCAGCGGCAAGCAGAAGGCCAAGGAGAGCCAGTGGGGCCAGTAAAACGCTGGCCAGGAAGGGGCTCAGAGAGAGCAACAACAGCTTGACAGAGACAGCCCATTCAAGGACCCCAGGCCTCCCCTCCCACAACCCAACCAGCAAAGGAAACTCTGCTCATTCAACCGCAACCAACTAAATACAGTGTTCTCGGCCCACCACACCAGCCATGTAGTCATTTGTTATCTTCATCATCATAATAGCACCTTTGACATTTCCCATGCTTGGCTCCAACTCCATCATGACTTTCCTGTGTGGCAAAGGACGTCGCTCTTTGAGTGTGAAGCAGGGAGCACTTCTGACCTGCTAAGGCAGAGGAGCCCATGACTTTTGGATTCAGACTCCCCCAGAAGCAGATGTGCCATGAAACTAATAGCATGGAACCTTTGGTCACTCTCCACCCCTCACCCCTTCCAAGGTCCCGAGAGGGAGGACCCAGCAATGTGTTCACAGGGTTGAGTGGTTTTGTAAAGTGTACAAAAGCAAGACATTCTTGTTTTCTTTTTCTTCTAACCCCTCC